AATTGAAAAAGAGACATTTATTGTCGAAATGCGCAATTTTTACGCTTAATATTATTACTACCACTGGATCGATACATCTGCTGAAAAACTGTTTTTATTAAAAATTTGCTGTTACAGAAGTTTGAGACTATTTTATATTAAGGAATATATCTCCCTCGTGCAAATCTCTGATTCCTTGCTTGGCTTTGGCCATACTTTTGTCTATTTTGGTTTATAACCTCTTCATTTTTAACTAGTTTTAGGGTTTTCAAATAATTTGGCCACGGGCATCACTGAAAAGACATTTATTGTCGAATTGCGCATCTGGTGCAGTAAAATTGGTATTGTTAATATTATTATTTGACAGTTTTTAACTTGGTTTCCTTTTTATTTCTTCTCCCTACATCTAAGATTTATGTTTTCGTGTAATATTTCGTTATTATTATATAAGGTTAATAACAAATTGTCCTCGTCAAAGGTCTCGTTAATGTTTCATATATCAACAGTTATTATTAAATGTTAAACTGTATCATTCCAGTGATATACGTGCTAAGTTAAGATCAAATGTTAATACTAATAGTAAATACATTTATGTAAGTCTTGACTATGTTAGAAAATAATATAATTGTGATAATTGATTACAGAAGTTCAGACAAAACGAACGAAATATGACGTTTAAAGTGCCATTTATCAGTTTAGGTTTTCGAAAAAAAACAAATATGGTTTGTAAATATCATTGGGATAAGAAGTACCTGGATATTTGGTATCATTTGAACGATATATCAGTCAGATTTAGTTAATACCTAGTCAAAAATATGCATATTGGCAAAGCAATTGCCCCTTAAAAAAATACCGATTATCAACTCCCTATTTCTGATAAACACACTCTCATCATTAATTAAAATGTATATTTTTTAAAGTCAAACTTTATATAAAGTTCCTTTAAACCATCAAAGGCATTACAGATATCTTTGCAAAAAAGGAAAACCAGATCGGCTTACACTTCCTATTTTGAATTAGGAGATCAACATCTGGTTGGTATATATGTAACACTCAAACACGTGTCCTTCTCAAACGTGTTCAATTCCCCCTAACGTGTCTATGATGTCACTAAATGCTCAAATATGTCTTCGATGATTTTTGACGCTTTAACGTGTCCTTTCGCAAACGCCACTCTTGTCCATTTTTAAAGACGTCCAAATTCTTCTAAAAACGATTCCGGTGTCACATGATTTGAAAACACACCAAGACAAGAAGATTTAATGGGATCTTATACCTGGTTACATTGACTACGTAAATTACAGTTTTCCTCAAATCTTACATTTATAACAAAATGACCTTTGTTAGATTTTATTCGTCAATAAGTGTAAAGAGAGGCGGAAGATACCAAAGGGATATTCAAAATCATACGTCGATAACAAGCTGACAAGCAAATAGCAAAAGACGAAAAACGAACAAAGACAAACAACAGTATACAAAACACAACATAGAAAACTAAAGACTGACACACACTGATTAATGATAGTTTGCGAAGCCACTCACATTTGAGTTGTTTTTTCTTATGAAAGCTTAACATTGTCATTGCTTTATAAAATAAACTGCAGTTAATATTATTTGGTTTAGAGACAACTAACTGGCAAAGGGGAGGTAAATTTTATTTGGAATGAAGTCCAAAAGGGAAAGTTCAGATGCACCTACAAGTCGAGCATTGCATACTAAGTGTGCATATAATTTGCCATTTAATTTAGATACGATTAGAAAATGAATAACAGTTGGTTTAATTATTTTTTTGTTATTGCACCTTTTCCCTAAGATATCTGTTCATTCAAAAACAAAATCCCATTATTACATCCTTCACTATGTACAGTGCATGGTTCACGTCTTGGTCACTTTATCCAAATCACTCCTCCTCTCCTACCGAAGCCAATGCCGAACACAGTTATCATCTCATTCATGAATGATAGGACTTATGCAACAGTAAACTATATCACCACCATGAACACGTTTAGGAACGTGTTTGAGAGTGTTATGTTGTGTAATGTTTTTGTGTCTTAACTTGCTGTCGAGTCCGTTCTGACCTTCTGTATGTGAAACAGTAATAAAGATACAATCGATATACGATAGAAAAAGAGATTGAAACCCGAATCTTATCCGTGCACTTCAATCCTGATATGTTTCATTTTAAATAATCATTCGTTAATTATATTGTCGCATGTAAAATCCTTGTCCTTAGACTTATTTTCATGGTTCAGCGACTACTTTATATGCGTTTTGTCATGTGAATTTTTCACTTATTATGAATAATAACATTTGATCTATGGAATTCGCGCAGGGTTTTCATGTCCTTCATGTAGGGTTCACCTGACCTCGACCTCATTAAATGGATTAGTGATCAAGCTTTAGTTTGAAAGTACGTGAATATCAATTTCTCAGATACTATAAGCAGTGGGTCTACTATATGTGGTGTGTGGACTGATTGTAAGACGTACATGTCAGACTTGCAGGTTTCATCTGAACTTGACCTGTTTTTGTATTGTTATGAGTTACAATTTATGACTAAAATCAGCAAAGACCCATCGAAACAACATCTGATACAAAAATTTAACAATACTTTTAGATATTTGGATGATATATTGGCTCTCAATAATGACGACTCTATTGTGTATACTAAAGAAATTTATCCTGTTGAACTTACTTTAAATAAAGCTAATACTAACAATGACCACTGTCCTTTCCTCGATCTTGATATCTATATCATTAACGGGAAGCTTAATACAAAAATTTAGGATAAAAGAGATGATTTTTCATTTCCTATCGTTAATTATCCATTTTTAGATGGTGACGTTCCCTTGTCACCATCTTATGGTGTTTATATATCTCAACGTGTACGATTCGCACGTGTATGTAACAACGTATTAGATTTTAGCGAAAGAAATTTATGTATTACTGAAAAATTATTACACCAGGGTTTTCGATATCTTAAACTTGTCAAAACATTTACTAAATTTTATCATCGATATAAGGACATCATTCGTAAATATAACTCAACATGCAGACATCTTATACGTTCGGGTATTTCACATCCAATCTTTTATGGTAATATTCTTTACAAAGCACAAAAATGTTAGTATTCACCTCAAAAGCTAACAAAACCTTTAAACAGACTTATTAAGAAGGGATAAGTTACGATACTGTTGTCAGGTTATTAAAGTTTGCATATTTTGGCTTTAATATTGATTCACTTATAGGGTCTTTGCATCGGAATTAAACATATTTATTCTAAAACCAGTTGTTGGCATGACACGGGTTATGTTCTTCTCATATATTTTATGATGGTATAATACTAAACCCCTAACAGGAGGGATTGTGTCTGATATTCTTATCATGAAGACATAATCTTTCAATCAGTTTAATTGAGGTCTGGAGCTGGCATGTCAGTAACTGCTAGTAGTCTGTTGTTATTTATGTATTATTGTCATTTTGTTTATTTTCTTTTGTTTCCTATTCTGACATCGGACTCGGACTTCTCTTAAACTGAGTTTTACTGTTCGTACTGTTGTACGTTTGTTTTTTCTACATTGGCTAGAGGTATAGGGGGAGGGTTGAGATCTCAAAAAACATGTTTAACCCCGCCGCACATTTGCGCCTGTCCCAAGTCAGGAGCCTCTGGCCTTTGTTAGTCTTGTATCATTTTTAATTTTAGTTTCTCGTGTATAATTTGGAGTTTAGTATGACGTCCATTATCACTGAAATAGTATACATATTTGTTTAGGGGCCATCTGAAGGACGCCTCCGGGTGCGGGAGTTTCTCGCTGCATTGAAGACCCATTGATGGCCTTCAGCTGTTGTCTGCTCTATGGTCGGGTTGTTGTCTCTTTGACACATTCCCCATTTCCATTCTCAATTTTATCATCTAACGAGTTCTTTTCATGGTTCATTTGTCAATGTTAAGTTTTTGTGTTTTGGTTTGTTCTCAGAAACTATAAGCAGGAGGTTAACTACATTTGGTGTATGAAGTGAATTTAAGGTGTACATATCTGTCTGGCATGGTTCATTTGACCTTTTCCTCATTTTCATGGTTCATTGGTCAAATTTTCCTGATTAAGTCTATACTTTAGATTCTATAATCAATTAACCATCTATATTTGGTGCATACATGATTGTAAATTTTACATATATGTCTAGTATCAAATCAGCTTGACCTCATATTTATCGTGCATTGGTCAATGTGTTCGTGGTTAGGTCTGTTTCTATAGGCAATACGTTTACTACTTTTAGTTTTATGGAATGAAATTGTAAGGTGTAAATGTTGGTTTGGAAGGGTTCATTTGTCCTTGACCAGATTTGCATAGGTCATTGATAACGATAAGTTTCTGTAATATTTGTAGTAAAACCTTTATCTGAAAGACTTTCAACATAAAATCAATGGTGATCAGTTATGCAGCGTGTGCACTCTTGTTAATTCCTTTATTATCAATTTCATCCTGGAGACTGGGCACTAATTGAAGCCTGTGAATAACCAATTGCCCCATGATTGCCCGAAGACTACTGAGTTATCTTTATAAGAATGTTGAAATTTCAAAACTAACATTTAACCTACATAATTAGGTTACTGATTACAATCTTGACTGTTGATTTTTATTTGCGACACAGTTTTCCAAATTCAATTGTTTACATGGAGGGATTGAGGGTTGGAAAATTTAATTGTAAATAAACTCATCATAGATACCAGGATTGAAATTTGGTATTTGCGCCAGACTCGCGTTTCGTCTACAAAAGACTCATCAATGACGCCCGAATAAAAAAAAAGTTAAAAAGGCCAAATAAAGTACGAAGTTAAAGAGCATTGAGGACCAAAAATTCCTAAATGTTTTGCCAATTATGTTTGCTAGAGCAACAATATAATTTGTGTGAGACAACATAAAGATATGAGACGTATGTTTAACCATTTATGCGTAAATCATCAGAACTTGCGTATCTGTATACTTTTATGAACTCCATTTTCTAATTTTTCTTTCTAGGTATTGTTTTGCTGGGTAACATTTATTTATAGTGACACAGAAAGAATTATGATATTTTGGTGGCTATTTCCGTGATATATGTGCCATATAGAAACAGACAAAATTGACTGTGTATTACGTAATTTAGTCATTACTACAGAGTTATCAAAAAGCGACCAAATATCGACTGCATTTACGTTTTGGATTTATCTGACTTATCATGCATTTGTAATTGTTGGTGGCATATGTTTTACTTTTAAGTTGTACTCTTTATCTGACAAAATCATATACTAGATAGGTATAAGTTTTTGTGTAATGTTCATAAAGACCATTGTCGAGAAAGTACCCTTACTTTTTTCGTCCATATTTGAGATTTTGTTTCCATTCAAATCATAATACTTTGACTAATTTCTGTATTTCAGAGACAGACAACGTCCATATTCATAAATTAGTAGCGTTTATGGTTAAATGAAAATCAAGAAAAGCGCATCGGACACATGACATTTAGGAAGTGTTATTTTCTTAATGTAAGAAAAATTTTATCCCCGGAATGTTTCGTTATAGTTTCATATAACGACAGTTTGTTTTTATAAATGTTAAGCATTGACACCATTGCAGTGACATGCATTTAATTTAGTTCAAATTCATGTAAAAAAAAAATAAATTTATCATTGTTAACAGTTTGTTGCAAACATGTATAAAGGTGATATTTTAAGCATATAAGGCGAAACAAACAAAATGTGAATTCTGAATTGTGATTTATCAATTTTTGCTTTCTGAAAAATGAATAATAAATTGTTAAAAATAAAAGAACCTGAATAATTTTTATCATTTGATTAGTCCAATCAAATTGAAGGTGATGCCAGAAACAGGTGTTGTGCGAACGGATTTCATATCATATTTTTTAACTGCTACTAAGCCGGAAATGCTTTAAGTGAAGTATCATCAGTCCATGAGAGTACTTTCCGATCAGTAGCATATGTATTATACTAGCATTGTCTGTAAATTTGCAGTTCACATATTAATGTTATTGTGTCAAAGCTGAGGTTGCAACTCATTCAGGCAATGTTAACTTTAGACAGTTCTGTTTGTGCTCTTTTCGTTTCTGTACTCTTTAATGTCTTATGTTGTGTTGGAGATGATTCCAGCTTTCCAATTGGGAACTTTTTAATTTTGTGTATCATAATTACAGCAGCGCCTGCATATACAATATATGTCTACCAGTCGATACTAAATTAAAATCCGAGACATCAGTGGAAACGCGCATATCGAACCATTTATATGAAGCCATAAATTGATAAAATGAATAGAAACGACATCCAGATTTAATCAAATTTGGTATTAAAATAACTATCAGAAGTTCTAATATCATGGCCTAAAATATGAAATTTGTCGCTTTTAATGTTTGAAACATTACTGTTCACCAAGAATAATCTACAAGACGATCTTTTGAGTTATACGTTTGTTATATATTATTCTTAGAAAATATCATAGTGACTGACTTAAATTCAAGAGTTTTTCAGGGTTTTATCTGTTTTAACAATTTAAATTTGTCTTCATCCAACGCTTAGAATAGACTCAGCATAGATACAAGGATTAAAGGTGAGTATACCAGACGCTCGTTTCGTCTACAAAAGACTCATCAGTGACGCTTGAATCAAAAATGTTAAAAAGGCCAAATACATGTACAAAGATGAAGAGCATTGATGACTCAACATTCCAAAATGTTTTGCCAAATACAACTAAAATGCAATCTCGTTCACACTGTTAGGCAAATTTGGTGCCTTTTCTGACAATTTCTTTTAGGATATGTCATTGTGCTCTTTCATTTTTCAAAGTATTCTGAAAGCTACTGAATTCTAATGTTTACTGTAACATACACAAGATACCGCTTGTTGATAACTAACTTTAAATGTTCGAGCTAAAAAGTCGTTTGTTCATAATTACGTTTCGAGTTTATGGCTGATAGAATATTTTATTCAGCGAAGTTTACATACTTATATTTGTTTAGGTAAGTTTGAAAAAAAATTAAAAAAAAAAATCCAAGGGTACTTCAAAAATAAGGCGATAAAAATAGTTGACGTCATGGCCAAAAACAAAAGATGACGAAAAGACAAACAGGTTCACAAAACACTACAAAGAAATAAAAAATGAGCAACACAAATCTTTCCAGAAAGTTGGAGGATTTAAGGTACTCCGGCAGGGGTAAGCAGATCTTGCTTCATTAGTGGCACCCGGGTGTTGCACATTGTAAGTTCAAATTTGGAGATGATTCCAAATTGAGGGATGTCACAGTCGCGAAAATAGAGGACGGAGTTACTACAATTGGAACGCATCCGTGGTCATCTGTGATAAGAAACAAACAGACTTACTGTACTGGTACAACATTTATGATAACCTGGGACAAACGAACATTTCTGAGAACCTAGGTTGGCGTACATTTCACTTGAGTACAGTAAATAATAGTTTTCATAAGTAATTCGTGAAAATAAGGAATAGTATGAAATTTTAAGGTGTTTGTTTTCATTTTTTACACCACTGGGTCGATACCGCTGCAGGTGGACTATCACTCCCTGAGAGTATCATCAGATCAGTAGTCAATACTTTGGTACTGACATGATTTATAACAAACCTTTCATAAATCGTCCGTCTAAAAGTTTAGAAATTGTTAAGAAACTAAGGTTTGAACTCCCTAAGGCAAAGTTAACCTTAGATGGATTTGACTATTATTTGTAGTTCCTTTTGGTCACAGAGCTCTTTAACTGTTTCAGGTCTAATACATCCTTGGCTTTCAAATATTCGGCTTTGAGCGTTCCTGATGAAAATAATTCTAGAAAAGCGCGTCGGAATTAAGTGTTGTTTTCAGTTTTTACAGCACTGGGTCGATACCGCTGCTGTTGGATTATCAGTCCCCGAGAATATCATCAGCTTAGTAGTCAATAATGATTTATAGCTAACTTTTCTTAAATTGTCCGTTTATAAATTTAGAACTTGTTAAGAAACTAAGGTTTCAATTCCCTAAAGCAAAGTTAACCTTAAATTTGGCTATTATTTTTTGGGTGCGTTTGTACATATATAGCTCTTCAAATGTTTTTTACATCCCTGAATTTCAAATATTCTGCTTTTAGTGTTCATGATGAAGGTTAATTCAAAAAAGCGCTTCGGACACATAAAGCTTTGTTTTCATTTTTTGTTTGGAAATATCGACACTGTGAAGATATTAATGTCCGTTTCGAAATTACGTTACTGTAATTTATTTTTGTTTGAATGATAGATTGTTACTGGCTTATCATCCAGTGACAACTATATCATATATGCTCAGGATGAGAACAATTAAACATTTAAGGTGAAGTGACTGTAAGCGTTCATTCAAAAATAGTTGTAACGTTATTTCGAAACGGACATTAACATCTTCATAGTGTTGGTATTTCTCAGACTCTACGTTTTTACATGAATTACTTATAACAACTATTTGACGATTTACTGTACTAAAGTGAAACGTATCGTTAACCTAGGTTTTCAGTAATTTTCGTTTGTCCAAAGGTTATCAGTTGATGTTGAACCAGTTCATTACGTCTTATCTTTATGTTAGTCGTTATTTGAATTGGGTGATATTGACAGATCTATGATTGTTTCAATTTGATTTTTATAGACTCAGTACAATTTAGAGCTTGACATATTTTTTAGACACAGATCTATTGTTGAAGACTGTATGTTGCCCTTAATGTCTTTTGGTTATTTTTGCCGTTAGTTGTTGTCTCATTGACGTATCTCCCACATCTTTTTTTTTATTCATTTCTTATCACAGATGACCACGGATGTCTTCCAATTGTAGTAACTCCGTCTTATTTTCTGCGACTGTGACATCACCGAATGCGACTCATTTCCAAATTTGAACTTACCATGAACAACACGACATGTGCCACCAGTACAGCAGGATCTGCTCAGTATTCCGGAGCACTTGATATCACTCCTTCTTTTTGGAGTGTTCGTGTTGCTCAATTTTTATTTCTATGTAGTGGTGTATATATAATTTTAGAAAAACCAATTGGTATACTTTCTTTTAAAGTTTCGTTGACAAATATTAGTAGTTATTGTAAACATCACTGAACAAAATATCATATCAACCAGAAACTGAAAACGTAATTATGAATCAACGACTTTTACGCTCGAACATTTAAAGTCAACAATTAACAAGCGGTATCATGTGTATGTTACTTTAATTAGAATTCATTAGCTTTCGTAATACTTTGAAAAATGAAAGAGCACAAAGAGATACTAATAAATTGTCAGATTACGCACATAATTTGCCTAACAGTGTGACCGAGATCAATTTATTGTTTAAGAAGTACATTGCAATTTAGGTTTTTGTCGGCTTCACATAAATCGTTTGATATACGCGTTCCCACTAATGTCTTGGATTTTTTTTATTTAGCATTAACGGGAAGATATATATTCCATATGCAGGCGCTTCTGGAAAGTTGCTTCACAGAAATGGAAAGTTCACAATTGGAAAGCTGTTAGAAATCATTTCCAACACGATATAAGACATTAGAGAGTACAGAAACGTAAAGTTCCCCAACTGCTAAAACCGTCTAAAGAAAAAATGGCTCAAAAAGTTGCAATCATAGCTATGACCAAATTACATAAATATGTGTACTGGAAATTAAGACAAATGTACAATTATTTGAAGTATGCCAGTATGATGGATAAGCTACCGGTCAAAAAGTAGACTCATGGACTGATCGTTCGCTAGAAGCATTTCCTGTCTAGTGTAGTAAAAAAACAAATGCATTGATGTCTGTACACACATCACTCGTTTCGTGAATTACATTGAATTTGATTTGACTAGTCAAATTATAGCAACTAACGTTCTTTTACTTGTCAAATGTCAATGAAATAATTCATTTTTCGCATTTTCTAAAAACAAAAACTAATAAAGGATATTTCAGTATTGATTTTTTTTATTTTATTTGAATTCTTAAATTATCACCTCATCACAAATTTGCAACAAACTGTTGACGATTATTAAATTTAAAAGTATTTTTGAAATTGTTATATAAATTTTAATCTAAACATACACACAAATGTTACTGCAATGGTGTCAACGCTTCACATTTATAAATACAATGTTGATATATGTAACGAAAAAAGTAAAATCACAAAAATACTGAACTCCGAGGAAAATTCAATCGGAAAAATTTGGCAAAATCAAATGATAAAACACATCAAACGAATGGACAACAACTGTCATATTCCTGACTTGGTACAGGCATTTTCAAATGTAGAAAATGGTGGATTGAACCTGGTTTTATAGCGCTAAACCTCTCACTTGTACGACAGTCGCACCAAATTTAATAATATCG